TTATTATGTTACTTTGGAGTCAGTTCAGCTACAAGGAGACCCTACGTACCCCAAAGGAGGATAGTCAGTCACTTTAGCTTAAATCCACAAAGTTCTGAGCTCTGAGTGTTGGTCGTGTGTTCTCTGGGTTTGGTGTCATTGATTTCAAAATCCTCACATCTGTCTTCCAATCCCTTTACGCCCAGTACCTCCCCACCTCTCCAACCTGCTTACTCCCCAACCCACAACCCGCTGCCTCCACTCAATCGTCTCTGGCCTCCTGCTTGTCCCTCGTGCCCGCCATTCCACCATTGCCGTCCGCGCTTTCAGGCAATTCCCCCCGAAACTCTGGACCTCTCTACCTCAATCCCTCTGCCTTGCCCCTCCTTCTCCATCTTTAGGTTATGCCTGAAGACCTTCCTATTCAACCATATCAAGTACTGTCAAGTGCTCTGGGACGCGACTCTGCATGAGGCGCACTATATAAATACAAGTTGTTGTTGATTTGTGTTTTCAGGGTTTGATGCACATTGGCTGTATGTTCTCAGGGTTTGATGCATGTTGGCTGTATGTTCTCAGGGTTTAATGCACGTTGGCTGTATGTTCTCAGGGTTTGATGCGTGTTGGCTGTATGTTCTCAGTGTTTGATGCGTGTTGTCTGCATGTTCTCAGGATTTACTCTGTGGGGCTCGCAAACGTCCTGGAACTGGAACGCGGTTGACGTGGGGCCACGGCGGGACCTGGTGGCGGAGCTGGGAGACGCGATCAGAGGTAGAACGGATTTGAGGTTCGGGCTCTACCACTCCCTCTTCGAGTGGTTCAATCCCCTCTTCTTGGAGGATGAGGCCAACCACTTTAAAACCAACAAGTTTCCCTCCAAGAAGAGCCTTCCGAGCTCTACGAGATTGTCAACAAGTACCGGCCGGAGGTTCTCTGGTCTGACGGTGATGGTAACGCCCCCGCCTCCTACTGGAACAGCACTGGCTTCCTGTCCTGGCTCTACAATGAAAGGCAAGTGTGTCAGCCTGGCTCACTCAGTAACACTCTCCCCTCTCCCTATCTCTCTGACCTGCTTACGCCAACCCACTACCAGCTGCCTCCGCTCGACTGGCTCCAGACTCCTGCTTGTTCCTCGTGCCCTCCGTTCCAGCATTGCCGACCGCACTTTCAGCCATTACTCCCCCAAACTCTGGAACACTCTGCCTCTATCCCTCTGCCTTGCCCCCTCCTTCCTCATCTTCAGATCATACCGAAGACCTTCTTATGGTCACCTTCCCCCAGCTCAGCGTCAGGCTCCGCCACTGCCCAGAATGCTACCCTATGTGTGGTTGTGGGTTAAAGTCCCACCTCAAGGCCATTGTACTCACAAATAGGCCAGTGGTGGCCAACTTTATAATAAAAGTAATAATGTATTTGATATAGCGCCTTATCATTTCATTGAGACGTCTCAAAGCGCTTCACAGAATATACTGTCAAATTAATTGACTGTATATTTTGTGGGCGAAACATAGCAACCAATTGCACACAGGAATGTCCCACAAGCAGTCAGGGATTGAGTGATCGAATTATCATCTTTTTTTTTGAAGGGTTTATTACCCTCGGAAAGCGATCCACCAATCGACATTGCTGCTCGGTAAAGAGAGGTGTGTGGAGTGAGGAAACGTGACTTAAGTCAGGTTTCGCCCTGACTGGGAATCGAACCCGAGACCTTTAGCTTGCAAAGCGAGTGCTCAAACCACTACAGGACTTCAATCAGCATGAATAGGACTTGGAAGGGCAGACCAGTCACTGACTGGAGTCAGGGAATCCTCCCACTCATCTCCTGTTAAGCCTGCAATCCCAAAGCCCTAACAGCAGGATGGTCCTAGCTGGACAGGCAGTGGGAGGTGAGCGTGTTAACCACTACACTACAGGCCTCCAGTTGGGTTTAATTTAGTTGTTGTTGTTGCAGCCCCGTGAGGAAGACGGTGGAGACGAACGACCGCTGGGGGCTGGGGACCATCTGTAAGCACGGAGGATACTACACCTGCGCTGACCGCTACAACCCAGGCCACCTCCTGCCCACAAGTGGAGAACTGCATGACCATCGATAAAAAATCCTGGGGCTTCAGGAGGAACGCGGAGCTGAGAGATTTCCTCTCCATCCAGCAGCTGGTTCAGGTCACACAATGCCCTCCCCTTCACACTCTCTGACACTGGCTTCTTGGTGAGAGAGTTCCTTCAATACGTTATGGAAATCTCAATAGCTATAGCAGGCGGCGCCACTTGACGGTTTGGTTCCCCCTGAGCCAGGCGGGTCCCCAGTATTCCAGGGCACTGCTGATGACAGCACAGCCCAGCCCGGCTCATTAGATACAGAGCCTTATCATGTCGTCGAGACGTCTCAAAGCGCTTCACAGGGTACACTGTTAAGTGATTTCACTCTATGTTCTGTTGGTGAAACGCGGCAGCCAATTTGCCCTCAACAGTGTCCCACAGACAGTCATGAATTGAGTGGCAAAATGATTATTTTAAAAAAAAATTTTTTTTGAAGGGATTATTGCCCCCGAAAAAGCGATCCGACAATCGAATAACGACCAGGTTTCCACTTACTGCTGCGTAAACAGAGGCGCAGGGAGTAAGGAAACTTGTCCAAAGTTTTGAGCTGCCTGGGGAATCCAACCCAGGTCTCTCGCTTGTGAGGGGACCGTGTTAACAACTGAGCTACAGGACTCCATGTGGATTCCCTGTATATTTTGTGGGTGAAACCCCTGAATTGCCTTCGAGCTGTGGTGGTGAAGCGGAGACTGTAGAGAGCAGCGAGGGTGATGGATGTTCTTGTCTCTCTCTCTCTCTCTCTCTCTCTCTCTCTCAGACTTTGGTGGAGACGGTGTCGTGCGGGGGGAACCTGTTGGTGAACATCGGACCCACCCACGACGGACAGATCATCCCTCTGTTTGAGGAGAGACTGCGGCAGATGGGCCAGTGGCTGTCAGTGAACGGGGAGGCCATCTACAGCACTAAGCCCTGGAGACATCAGAACGACACTGTCACCCCCACTGTCTGGTAGGTCATCATTAACAGTGGGTGAGTGTAAGACAGGCAACAGCACATCTCACCTACAAGGCCATTCACGGCCTTGCTCCCTCCTACCTCTCCGACCTACTATCCCCCTACCTGCCTGCCCGTACCCTCCGTTCCTCTGGCTCCGGTCTGCTCCACATCCCCCGCCCCAACGGCCCTACCATCGGTGGCCGGGCCTTCAGCCTCTCAGCCCCGAGGCTCTGGAACTCTATCCCCCAGTGCCTTCGCCGCCTCCTCCCTTTCCTCCTTCAAGGCCGGTCTCAAGACCTTTCTCTTTGACCGTGCCTTCAACTCTCGACTCTCTACCCCATCCTCGCTCCCTCCCTTCCCTCCCCTCACCCTGACCATTTCCCCCCAATGCTCGGGTCCTGACCCAACTGTCCAGTGGTTTCGGACGTCCTCCCGACGTGAAAGGCGCTCTATAAATGGAATCTTGTTGTTGTTGAGTTTATGGACTCAGAGAAGGGCAGGCGAGTAGGGTACATCCCAAAGCTCTGGCAGTGAAGGGTTTGGACCCCAACTGGGGGTTGGGATCAGGAGAGCTGGAGGGCAGGGAGTTTATTCACTGACCGTTGATTGCAGGATTTTATCGCCCACGGTTCCACAGGTACACATCCCGCCCGGAGCAGAGCCTGGTGTACGCTGTGTTCCTAACATGGCCCAAGACAGACAGCCTGATCCTGGGAGCTCCCTCGGCCACAGCCGGGCACAGCAAGGTCAGCCATCACTGGGCGGGGGTACACACACACGGAACGTACAGGGAGAGGAGGCTCGGGACTAGGGGGTGGGCTTTGGTTTGTCATGGATGCTCCCTCACCATTGCTTCACCTCCACTCCACCGCCGAACCCCTACCCTGTTGGAGGGGTGTGGGATTGGGAGGGTCAAAGAGATAGATCTTGCTATGGATCTTGAACGAGGTGATGGAGTTGGGGGTGGGGAGGAGTTGGCAGGACTCCGGGAGGACTTCAGAGAGTGGGGGAATATAGGCCGAAAGTTTCCCCCAATGATGGTGGGGTGGATATGAAGCAGCCGGTGCCCGCTGGCTGGACAGAGAGAATGTTCTTGGTGATTTTGTCACAAACCGTAGTGGAGTCCTGTAGAGAAGTGGTTAGAGCACTTGCCTGGCAAGCGAGAGGACCTGGTTTTGATTCTCGGACACGGCGAAACCTAAGGCAAGTTTCCTTACTCCACACACACCCCTCTGTTTTCCCAGCAGCAAGTCCTTCAATCCATGACTGTTTGTGAGTGAAGCTGTAAGTAGCGTTGGGGAACCTTAGAGAGGAAAGGTTGGTAGGAGATGGGTTGATAGCTCGGCAACAGGGATGGGGGGAGGGAGGGTTTTTGAGAAGGGGGGAAGGTGACGACAGAGAATAACAACAAATGACATTTGTGCAGCACAATTCACGTCAGGAGGACGTCCCAATGTGCTGGACAGTCAGGGATTTCGACCCGAGCTGTGGGTTGGGATCGGGAGGGTTGGAGGGCAGGGAGGGTAGGGGTAGGAGGGTGACCGAAGACGAGGTAGAAGAGGAGGGTTTTGAGACGGCCTTGAGGAGGGCAAGGGAGGGCCGAGGCGGAGGGATTGTGGGATGGAGTTCCAAAGGGAGATGACTGAGGGGATGAAGGAGGTGGGACTGAACTGCAGTAACTGTGTGTCCTGACAGGTGACGCTGGTTGGATACTCGGAGCCCCTGAGGTGGCAGGCGATGGGGAAGCAGGGCTGCTGGTCACCCTCCCCACATTCAACCTGAACCAGTTACCGTGTCAGTGGGGCTGGGCTCTGAGACTCCACAACATCGCCTGAGCCCAGCCTGGGTTAGCGCCTCCTCAGCCTGTCATCACCAGCCTGTGCGAGAGTGTGTGTGATTACAGGCTTGTGTGTGTGACTGTAAGTGTGTATGTGTGTGATTACAGGCTGTGTGTGAGTGAATACAGGAGTGTGCGAGTCTGATAGCAGGAGTGTGAGTGAATACAGGCGAGTGTGAGTGTGATCGCAGGCGCGTGTGTGTGTGTGTGTGTGTGTGTGGGATGATAACAGGATGGAGCAGATGGATGGCAGTGGGGACTGATGAGCTGAGTGTGAGCCTCGGGGTGTCAGCCGCAACAACAGCAACTCACATTTCACGGCGGGAGGACGTCTCGAAGCTCCTCACACGGCGCTATTGTTGGACAGACAGGAGAGGGAAGCTTTTGGGTTCCAGATGAGCTTCGCAACCTCCGAGCTCCAGGTCACACAGAACCTGAGCAGCTGCTCCGTTCTCTCCGCACGTCCCCGCTCTCCCACCTTAGTAACGTTAGGATGTCACAAGGCAGTGGGACAAGAAGACATGGGTTCAGAGTTACAAAGGAGCAATTTCATTCCAGACAGATCAGGTCCAGAGTTGTCTGGTTCCTCCAAGCAATTGCACTTACTGTATGTCATGTCTCAAATAACTGATATTCTGCATTCCACAAATATTATTTACTAAACAAAAACAAGATCTAATTTGTATTTGAATGAATGTGATCAAGTTGTTTGTTACGGCGAAGGGATGAATCTAAACTGCAACACAATGCAACACAATTTACATTTCTGTCAGGAGGATGTCTGAGAGCGATTAAGATTAAGGAGGAGGTAGAGATTTGAGAGGGGAGCTGAAGGCACCATCAAAAGTTTGTTTAGGTTCAAACCCCACGTCAGGACTTGGAATAATATGGTCTAAACTGAAGCTCCAATGCAGCGCTGGGGGTGTGTGGCATTGGTCAGAGGTGCCGTCCTTCAGATGAGACGTTAAACCGAGGTCCCGTCTGCCTGTTCAGGTGAATATTATCGATCCCATGACACAATTTGAACAGAGGAGGGACTTTTTCTCTCCCACTGTCTTGGCCAACAATCCCCCAAATAAAATTGGTCATTCATTCTGTGGCTGTTTGTGGGATTCTGCTGTGCTCAATTGGCTGTCGTGTTTCACCCACAATATATAGTCACCACACTTTACAGTATATTCTGTGAAGCGCTTTGACATGTCTCGATGATGTGATAAGCCGCTATATCAAATGCAAAGGTTACTATTGTTATGATGAAAGAGCAGCAGACCCGGGTTCTGTTCTGAAGAGGGTAAAAGGTGATCTGATTGAAGTGTCGAAAACAACGGAGAAACCTCTGACTGAGACGGACCTGCAGAATATTACACCACAACTGGGGTGGGGGGAGGGAGGGGAGGGGGGAAGTGGCAGAACAATGTGAGCCCCAAATAAACAAAGCAACGGATCCAAATCAGATCAGTGCAGACTCCAGAACTCGGGCGGGTGGGGGTAATAAGCCACTGGAACAAAGATGACAAAGATTTGGAACAAGACCCCAAATAAGGTTCGTCGAGACCATGGAACAGCTCGATGGTTGTGATAAATAATAATAATCCTTGCTTTTGATACAGCGCCTCATCACGTGATTGAGACGTCTCAAAGCGCTTCACAGGATATACTGTAAAGTGGATTGACCGTGTATTTTATGGGAGAAACCGGCAGCTAATTGTGTACAATAGGTTCTAGGAATACAACAGATTTACTAATTTATACAGTGTCTCACATCGGGAGGACGTTCCAAGGCTCCTAACAGTCCTGGTTTGGCAGTGAGCTGGGAGTGGGAGCTCAGGGTGGAAGTTAGGAGTAAGATGACAGAGCGTCATCAAAGAGGTGAGTCTTGAGACGGATCTTAAGATGACATTAAATGGGCCCGAGGGACTGCCTCATCTGAACCAGCCTCGTGATTTTTATGATCTTGTGAAATCATGTTCAGGCCGTACAGTCTGTGCTGTTGTGCAGTTTTGCTTCCAGCAGAGAGCGATGTCGCTCTACTGTAACTGCAGTCAAGCTGTGCTTCCTCTCCACCACCAGGTGGCGATAGTACCCCAACAACAACAACAACTGGTTAAAATAAAATAATAATAATAATCCTTGTATTTGATACAGCGCCTTATCAGGTCGTTGGGACGTCTCAAAGTGCTTCACAGGATATACTGTAAGGGCAGTGACTGTATTTTGTGGGTGAAACGTAGCAGTGAGTTTGCACACAGCAGTGCCCCACAAACAGTCCTGGAGTGAGTGACCAAATGTATTTCGGGGGAATCGATGGACATGACGTCGGGAGAGAGAAACTCCATCTCTTTTCAAACAGCGCACCCTGATAATAGCAAATAATGCCAGACAGTGATATCAATGACAAGCTATGCAGCTTCAGCTGAT